CTGTTTTGATTCAGTTATTGTATACAGGTTCGGTGAAGCACCAAATTGATGAACTGAATGAGAAGACATTCACATACAAGTACACTTTGATTGAAGGAGAAGGTATATCAGATAAAATTGAGAAGGTGTCTTATGATATTAAGTTTGAGGGTTCAGACGATGGTGGAACCATCTCCAAGATGACCACAACCATCTACACCCTCGGTGAGTTTGAGATCAAGGAAGAAGAACTAAAGGCAGGCAAAGAAAAAGTTTTAGGGCTTTACAAGGTTGTGGAAGCTTATCTCCTCAAAAACCCCGATGCATATGTTTGAAGATGCTCATTCTAAAGTTTGGGTTGTAGCCATCTTTGGCATTTTCAAGATTCCCAGTGTTCTCTTTAAATGTAAAAGCCATGCATTATCTTCTACAGAAGAAATAAACATCACATCATCAATAACTGCTGTAAACAGAAATATTTCTATTTCTGCAACTTATTCATACTGCAATATAACGAATTTCAAACTTGAAATGCAAACAACATTAAATGGGGTCCTTTTAACCACGATGGGTCCAAAGAGTAAAATGATGACCCATGAGAGTTCAAGAAATAGGATACCTGTCCAAGTTTGGAGCTAATTGTGTGTATATAATGTCAAGAACAGCACCAGTGTGTGCGTATCAGTTTTGTCTTCAAGGATTCCATAGAACACACTATTGACTTCCACTCCAACATGTCAAGCATTGTAATGAAAGCAGAAGAAATCRATCAGTTTAGCATAATATCTCAAACAATGCTCAGTKGAGAAATGGAAACAGAACCCAAAATTGTGGTTCAACCRAAGCAGAAACACTAACCTATCAATTTTTGGTAAACAAACCTCAAAATTGTTTTGTTGCACACGGTTCAGTCCAATAGTCGGAAATGGGTAGACGAGGAGGCTGGTGGTGTTCAGTGTGTAGGAAATTAACCCGTACAAGCATAGACCTCTGATGTTGGTTCTCTCTGKCGATGTTTTGCTGAGATTCCAGCATGGTTTTCGTTGAGATTGGAATGAGAAAGGACTAGGGAGAGAGGTGATGGGCTGGGAATAAAGAAAAACCGAACCGAACGAAAAAACGGGTGGGCAGGGATGGGTTGGTAAGATATGATACCATATAGAGTCTCGGAGTGGAATATACGCAAAACTTGTCCTATTGTCCAAAAAGGCAGAGTAATTGTTTCTATAAAATTGGAACGAAAAGGTAAGAAAAATAAGACTAGTCAACAAACTAATGACTCTAAAAAGACTTAAACTTGAAATTCAAAAAGGGCAATTCTAAATTTGCACCTCTTTCTTATTATTTTCCTCCAACACAAATCCACATACCAATTTTACATTCTCAATGCTCAGATTTCACCCACAAGGGTTGCAAATAGCTTTGTAGGATCCACTGCTATAATGGAGATAAAGTACATTTCTTGCTATTTAAAGATTTTAGGATTCATTCTACGAAAAAATTTGGACACCTCATTCACTACATGTAACTTGAGGTGATCAGTTTATGTTTGCACTAGTTGAAGCTACAATTATAATTATACAACCTAATTGAGTAAGTAAGAGCTGAGAAAATAAAGGCAAGAATGAAACATCCAAGATTCAGCTCTACAAAATTGATCAATCTAAATTAGGCTACCTTCTGCCCCATGTGGAAACTCATATCACAGATTAACAGAACAGTTAGGTTACCTTCTGCCTCATGTGGCAACTA